CCCTTCACAGTGGTCTTGTCAGATACTTGCAATCGAGATATGGTAACTCTAAATATACATAGTAGCTGTTCACTGCAACATAAGGTTTCGATATATAGCTTTTATTTTATTTTTATTTTCTGGGTGAGGGAGGTTGAATGTTTTGAATCATTTTGAACTAACACTGTTGAAACTGTTAGGATCAATTAAAGCTTTTGATAAAAGACTGCAGTTTTTTGTGCTGTTTACATTAAACCTGTTGCAGCTTTAACAGAAACATTTACTCTGTGTTCATACAGTTTTATATATAAACCGTTCCAAGAAGGAAGAATTTAGCAGGCTCTGTAGAATAGTGAGAATAGGGGAGGGTAGAATTTAATTGGTTGCAATGTTTTAATCTTTCTCATACTCACAGAGGCAACCAAATGCAGGTTCACATGAACAAATCCACCTACAACTTTGCTAAAGGCTGTAGCTGGTTCATTGATTCAGCCCCAAAGATAAGTCAGAAGAATTCCATAAGCATGTTCTCCCATTCAAACCTCATATCCATCACCTGTCTTCCATTCAAAGAACCCACTAGCCCATTTTAATAAACAATGATCCCTCGTCACAATCAAAGCCTCATGCTAGAAGCAAGAGGAGGAGGTTAAACCAAGATCTAGCTGCCATGGGGGAAAAAATATAGCAATCCAAACAATGAAGATTTGAAGCAAGATTCTTTATTAAAATACCCTATAACAGTGATTTCTGGGCTGCCAGCCAAACTGACTGAGATATAGCGAGAAAGACAACAGATTGAGAAAAGATTTCACAGGAGACAGAAAAGGTATATTGGCAATCAATTTTAAGCACACAGACAGAAAAAGCACCCAAATCTATATGGGCAATGAGGTAGTTAGATTTGGCCTTGAGAACAGCACCCCAGTTTCCCTATTTCCCCCTTATTTTGCATTTCTTTTGTTACGATGACCAGATGAGCCTTTTTCACCTTTCTCCACAAAATCCAAGCCTTCTTACCCTCTTCGTGCTCCCTTCCACAGGATCACTGTAAACTAAATTATTTATGGCAAAGGATCCTCATAGAACAAATCAATTTATAATTAACAGAATCTACTTTTGCAGAGTTTTAAATTCCACATCGTTTAGCTTCACTGGAGCAATTCCTACAGAGCTCAGACCTCCAAAAAGTTCTGTTTCCCACATCAACTTCCTTTGATGGTGAGGCTTGCCGAAGACTTTCTTGGTGGTTTCAATCCACTATCCGATTAGCATCATCAGATCAGCCTGTTCAATCTTATCCCTAGGCACACTAAGAAGTAAAAGAGAGATAAAGTATAAGAGGAAGGAAAAAATGGCAAAGGACACAAACAAAGAGGAGTTTTTAGAGAGCGACACTGTCAGCCCAAGAGAACTTAGGGTCCTAATTCCCCATCAGACCAATCTTACTGCTGAGATCTTGTTCTTCTGTTTGATTAGTGTCCCTGGCTTGGTTAGCTTCGCTGTCTCATCTTCAGCTGTTCCTATATATTATGTGGGTTCTCCTTTATCTATGTGTCGATGGTTGGGTGTGTGATAAAGAAGTGACTGAGCCAAGTAGATCAATGAGAAAGAGGAACACAAACTATAAAATAGGGTCAAGGGCAGCCATGCATAAGAAGTCCTCACTACCTTGTGCCAAAGCTCTGATGATGTTGATGCCTAGTTCGGTGATATACTGTTCACAAGAAGAAACAACGAACACCAAATTCCCAACATTTCAACATTGAGCTACACGGGTTGTTTTTTTTTTTTTTTTTTGGTTTTTTTTGCAGAACTACCACTAGAAGAGCATTTGCACAAATCAGAACGTGGATGTGCCTTGCCCTGGATCAAAAGATCCTGTTCAGTGTCATGGATACTCTTTAGTCACCTCCAAACTGGATTACTGTAATACACTCTACATGGACTCCCCTTGAAAATCACTCAGGAATTACAATTGGACCAAAATACATTAGCACGGGTATTTGAAGGTACGTTTAGGTATGCCCAGGTAACACCACTCATTCCCAACCTACTAATGGCTTCCTATAGATTCCAGGTGCAATTCAAGGTCCTTGATGCTCTCTGAGCTTGTTTGTAGCTAGTACTGATGATGTTACCTAGTTATCTACAACCAAGTCACCTGCAACCAAGTTACCTACAATCAAGTGAAGACATTTCATTACCCAACTAGATAACATCATCAGTGCAAGTAATGTGGGGTTTTCTCTCTGTTCATGTACAGTAGCTTGCCCTGCCACTGTGGAGGATGTGTGGTTTCTTCCTTAGAGAACACCAAGGATGCCTCATTTCAACCCTGAGCTACAAATATTCTCCATTATTGCTAATTCAAGGTCTGTTTGCCACCTACAAAGCCCTACATTGCACAAGTTATTTGCAGATATCCCTGTTGATACATACTCATCCCCTACCAAAAGAATGGGCATGTTCCTTCCTTGACATGATGCCATCTGATGGGACCATGCTTTTCAGTTGTGACACCTGCTTTCTGGAATGATCTGCAAAGTCCCATGAATGCCACCCAAAGCTTTATTGCTTGCAGATTTTTTTTGTTTTCATTCATGTCTACAGAAAGAGAAGCCTCAGGAACCCTGGTGCTTCTTCTAAAATGGATGGAGCGGCTGGGAGATGTAAGGTACACACCAGAGCATTTTCACTGCAAGGGAATGTGTATAAATCTGATCTCTGTTAAATATGTCCAGAAGGTCAGAATCCAGCATTTTCAGCCATCCGCTCTGGTACATTTACAGTTTCATGATTTACAACAGAATAAAATGTTGTTATCTATCTCAGAGAGGAAGCATTTTGGTGAGTGACAAATGGCTCCCAGATGCCAGCATATCCTTCTCCTGCGTGGAGGCAGCAGAAGCTCTTGGCTCTGTCTGTCAAACTTTAACGGCCCCTCATTCTCCTCTTCCAAACACCACCAGGTAATGATGCTAGATCGAAGCAGTTTCACAGAGCAGTTGGGGAGAAGCCATTGGCAGCGGTAGCTAAGAGCCAGAGAAGGGCATCAAAAATGTTCAATGGAAAAATGACGTCCAAAAATGTCTTCACTGCATTTCAAGGTCATAAGAAGCCACTGAAATGTCAATGAATGTTTTTCTCTCTCAAACACACACCCTCAGCTCTGCTGTCCTACAGTGATTTCAGGTCAATGCCCCAAAGGTGCTTTTTTCAAGAGGCAACTGAACTTTCTTGGTTTTTCTTTGAAGATGTTGCCTCCTGAAAAAGCACCTTTGGGACAACCAGGACCTGGGTGACTGAGAATCTCCATAGACTTTCAAGTCAATGGTTCTTTGAGAAAGTTGATGGCTCAGCTTGCCATTTTAATTCAAGCAAAGGTCAAGGAAGGCAAAGGTTTCCCCCTACCCTGTCTTGTCTGGCTATGGGGGGCAGAGCTCATCTAGGGAGCCAGGATTGTCCGAAGACGCTTCTGTGGTCATGTGAATGATATGTACATGGAACGCTGTTACTGTCCTACCGAAGTGGTCCCTATTTATCTACACACATTTGCATATTTTCCAACTAATGAGTGGGCAGAAACTGGGGTAAGGACAGGAACTCATCCCATCTCAAGCCGATTGGGTCTCGAACCTAGACTGTCAGCTTTCCATCTAACTAGCTCAGCATCCTTAACCATCGAGCCATCGTGCTTCACCCCCACCCTTAATTCAAGTAAAGCCTTATTTATCAGTAGACTAGCCTGGGTAACAGGACAGGAAGAATCTGTAGGGAGGAATAATCAAAAACTCATTTACCAGAGGAGCGAAATCTCTGGCCGTCCAAGACAACAAGAGCTCTGGAACACTGCTGACATTCACTCCGCCTGGTCCCTTCAAGTCATCCGCCGGGGTGTAGTTGAAGTTTCCACATGCTCCACACACCTTCCCTGTCAAAGCTGGGCTGACAGACACGGATATTCTACGATTTGGGCCAAATGTTACTTGAACCTGAGGTGTCTGAAGGACAATCACATCGCCGGTCAACTCAAACTTCACTACGTTTGTGATCTCAAGTGGGATTCTCACCGGCAGCCCGTTCACCTGGAACGCACAAAGAGAGACTCAACAAAGTTAGATGGGGATGCAAGGAAAATAGCCAGTTATGTTGTCGCCGGGGTGGGTGGGAGGTTATTATATTATTTTATTAATTTATGATATGGTTCTCTCTTTTATTCATTTTATTGTGTGTTTTTTTATTTGAGGTTTTTATATGAGCCTCGGTGATGCAGTGGTTAGAGTGCAGTACTGCAGGCTACTTCTGCTGATTGCTGGCTGACTGTAATTTGCCAGTTCAAATCTCACCAGGCTCAAGGTTGACTCTTTCTGATGTGGGTAAAATGAGGACCCAAAATTGTTGGGGACAATAGGCTAACTCTGTAAATTGCTTAGAGAGGGCTGTAAAGCACTATAAAGCGGTATATAAGTGCTATTGCTATATTCTTGTAAGCCGCCTGGAGCCCCCATGTGTGAATAGGTGGAAATATAAATTTCTTAAATAAATAAATTCTCCTCCAAATGCTTCAGTGAGCTAGGCCATCACTTGCTTTTTATTTTTCTTGGTTTATGTCTCTGCTACCTTGTATGGATTTCCAGGTTGGTGGCATGCAGCACGTTATAGGTGCTCCAACACTGGAGGTTTTGAAGAAGAGATTGGGCAGCTGTTTGTCTGGGGTGATACAAGGTTTCCTGATAGACTAGAAGACCTCCAAGGTCCCTTCCAACTCAGTTATTCTGCTATGCTAAGTTAAGAATAGAAAGTGTACCAGCTCGAGGTGATTTTATCTGCAGAGCGGGAACAGACTACTTTGTACCTTGTGGATGGTTTGGGGATTATAATTGCTATAATTCTCTATCAACTGCAGTACGTAAAGCTAACTAAACGTCTCCTTAACCCCAGGTACTGGTAGAGGAAACAGTGAAAAACAAAAGCTAGCTCTGAGATCCAATTGTTCAGAGCCTTAGATCCAAGTTTGTCAATCTTTGGAAATTAAGTCGCCCAGACTCACTGAGTTGAGTTGGCAGCTATAGAAATTGAATGAATAAATAAAATTAAGTGGGCACTTTGGGGATTTTCAGCACATGCAACACCATTCTCACAAAACAGGGGCTCTGGGGAAGAGTCTTGCCTAGCTGGAAATGGATGCAATAATGTTAGGCAGAGCCAGACCCAAGGGAGACAAGAGGGCCAATTTGCCCCCCCACACACACACACACTAAACCATTGTCTAGTCACCCAGTAGTCTTCCTCCACTACTCATTATTATTACTTATCATCATTATCATCATTATTACTTCAGCTTCAACCATAACAACACAAGAGCACACAATAGATACAAACTCAAAGTAAACCGCACCAAACTTGATTGCAGGAAATACGACTTCAGCAATAGAGTGGTCAATGTCTGGAATACTCTACCCGACTCTGTAGTTTCTTCCCCAAACCCCAAAAACTTTAACCTTAGACTGTCTACTATTGACCTCACCCCTTTCCTAAGAGGTCTGTAGGGGGCGTGCATAAGCGCACCAACGTGCCTACCGTCCCTGTCCTATTGTTTCTTTATTTTTCTTATATGTACCCATTTCATGTATTCACAACCATGTATACACTTATACTTATTATCTTGTAAACAATTGGCAAATCAAATAAATAAATAAATAAAATAAATAAATTATATTCTGTCCAGGCAAAAGGGAGAACAAGGCGCTTAGCTGCACCTCTTATCCCAGCCTATCCACCAGGAGCTGTGGTGGTGCAGTGGTTACAATGCAGTATTGCAGGCTAATTCTGCTGAGTGCCAGCAGTTTGATCCTAGTCGGCTCAAGGTTGACTCAGCCTTCCATCCTTCCGAGGTCAGTAAAATGAGGACCCAGATTGTTGGGGGGAAATAGGTTGACTCTGTAAACCATCCAGAGAATGCTGTAAAGTAGCATGGGGCAGTATTCAAGTCTAAGTGCTTATCGCTATTGCGATGTTTTGAACCTCATAAACAAATGTCAGGCTCATCTTACCTGACCTCAAGGCTGCTATGTTTCCTGTGCTGGCAAACTATCTCCTCCCCTTCTCCACAATGCAATGTGGGTCTGAGTTGCACAGCAGAGAACAACTCAGTTAGGTTCCCATTGAAGACACATCTGTGACAATGTCTTAGATTACACCAAGGGGTCTTCAAACTTGGCAGCTTTAAGACTTGTGGACTTCAACTCCCAGAATTCCTCCTCCAATCATGTTAGATCAGGAATTCTGGGAGTTGAAGTCCACAAGTCTTAAACTTGCCAAGTTTGAAGACCCTTGGATTACCCAATGAGCCTTGCAGGAGTTCCCATGAAGGGCTGAAAGAAAGAAGTACAAGTAATCTTCTACTTACGACAATGGCACTGATAAAAGTCACTTATGACTCTTTTTCATACTTATGACCGTTGTAGCATCCCCATGGTCACATGATCAATATTCAGACACTTAGCAACTGACTCATATTTATGACGGCTGCAGTGTCCTAGGGCCATGCGATCACATTTTGCATCCTTCTGCCAACCAGAGTCAACAGGCAAGCCAGCTTCACTTAACAACTGCATTACTAACTTAACAACTGCAGGGATGCACTTAACAACGGTGACAAGAAAAGTCATACAAGGAGCAAAACTCACTCGTCTTGCTCAGCAACATAAATTTTGGGCTCAGCTACCGGTTCCGAGGATGAGCTGAGAGGAGAAAGAAAAGTACAGGATCGGCCCTTCCACCCACTTTTCTCTTCTTTACCCTCTCAGCTACAGGCCTCATTTGGTGTGTAGAAAGCTGCACATGCGTGTTAGGTGCGCGCCCGATCACCGAACCGGTAGTAGAACAGGTAGGATCCCATTGCTGGTTCAGTTGTGGTTCTAAGCTGAGGACGACCTGCAATCGGTGATTTTTAATAGATCACAAAGAGAGCTCTTTCCTCGGTTTGGTTTCCACTTACCCAAACTTGCTTCTGGTCATTCACTGTAATCATTGAATTTTTTAAGAAGAGGTACAAGGTGACAGTGGCCGTTTGGAGAGGCTGACACAAGGTGACCCTAGCTATCAGGCGGAACCAATCGTCGGAGAGGGTGTCGCAAAGGGAGACCAGCTGGTAGGCTCCAGGAGCAACGGCATCTCCAGAAAGGCCATCGCAGGAAGAGAAATGTTGGCCTGGTATCATTATGCAGCGGCCTTCAGTGGGGAAGCAACCACGTAGCCCGTCTCTCACGCCACAAGCTTCACCAGTTCCACAGCCATAGAGGAGGCAGAACACTTCGCCTGGGCTTTTGCACCTACATTTCCTCTGACAGTCTGGAGAGATGTAGCTTTCCCCTCGCTGGAGAAATAGAAGAAGACATCCCATGAAAACAATATCCCACAATTACAAACTGAAGCTTCATCTTCTCCAGCTTGGAGAATATGAAGGAGAATTTCTATCACGTGGTTTGTGCTGTTTTTGTTTTATTATCTTTTATTATTTTTTTATTTAAAAACAAACAAACCAACCAAAAAGAAGGATCGGTTTTGTTTTCCAAAATTCAAGAAAGAACAACGCCACAAGAATAATAAGATTATGAACAGCAATAAATGGAGGGAGGGAAGTTCAAGATGCTACCAAATCACATGGTTGACATCAACAGGAAAACAATTGCAAACATCAAGCATGTTCTGCAACATGTAATTTAATAAAAGTGAGGGAAAGTTAGAGGCGTTCGGGGGTAGCGCTATTATTTTGTGCATTACTCAAAATTATGGGTTCAGCCAATTTGGAAAGAGGCTGAAAGAAGAAAGAAAAGATGAAGATATAACGGCAATGCAGAAAAATCATCCGTGTTGGATATGCAGATGGCTGAAAAGACTCCAATGTTTGGGGTTGAATATTCCCTATCCAGGGAACAGGAATTTTCCATTAAACGTTAAGCAAACTATACGTGTGTGTGTGTGTGTGTGTGTGTGTGTGTACGCGTGCACGCCTCTATTCACACATTTGTAGCTTTTATTCTGCACACAAAGGATAAAAATGTGTTTTAGGATTGAAAGGCGGCCCTTGAAATCAGAGCAAAAGACTGAATTCCATTTATGGAGTCCATCTACTTTGGCTGCTGTACAGCATGAGCACCGCCATCATTCATAAGAGTCGTTTGTGGCTCAGTTCTTTTATTGCTCTGCTATGAAACTGTTCCAAGGGCAATATAACCAGCAGAGTGTGGTATCCTTCCCTAAAATAGCAAATTCAGGTGGTGAGTTACGAGAGGAATCAAACCCAAACTGTGGTTGTTACATGCATGGAGAAATACGGAGTTGAAAATGCCTAGAGTGGAATAAACCCCCCTCGGCTCTACTTCCAACCCGCCCCCACTCCATCAAAACAAATAAATAAATAAATCTGAATTAGCTCAAGCATGCTTAAGAGGAGTGAAGAAGGCCGGTGGCCCATCAATCAGTAAGCCAAGATAGACAGAGGACTCATTAAATACAGTTTCCTGCCTTTAACACCAGCACGAAAATCTTTTAAATTGCTCTGTGTTTTAACTCAGGGAATGCCTTTAAAAAAGTCAAGTTGGGTCTTATATATTTTAAAAAATAGGTAGACCTTTGATCATACCATGCTGGTTGGGTGGGGGGTTTTTTATAAAAAAAAAACTATACCTTCCAGACACCCCTGGCCAGGAAAGGATATGGGCAAAAGTGTTCAGATAAGGCCACCACAGTGTGATCCAATGCATTTACGTTTCCAATATCTAAGGGCTGCCACAAAGAATAAGGAATCAAGCTATTCTCCAAAGCACCTGAAGGCAGGACAAGAAGCAACAGGTGGAAACTAATCAAGGAGAGAAGCAACTTAGAACTAAGGAGGAATTTCCTGACAGTTAGAACAATTCATTAGTGGAACAACTTGCCTCCAGAAGTTGTGGATGCTCCAACACTGGATGTTTTTAAGAGGAGATTGGACAACCATTTGTCTGAAATGGTATATACAGTTTCCTGCTTAAGCAGGGGGCTGGACTAGAAGACCTCCAAGGTCCCTTTCAACTATGTTATTCTGTTATCTATTGCACATTGAAAAAAGAAAACAGAGAAAGCTTCCACCAACCCATCATAGTCGACACCTTAATTTTTCCCCATTATATCCATTTAAGGAAAATAGTTGATTTCTGGAAAAGAGGGTAAAATTCAAATTTTTTTTAAAAAAATCCTTCTCACCAGAGTGAGCCTCCCTTCAAACCAGCATCCACACTGTTCTGGAGTCACACAGGCTACTCCGTTTGCCCATGTTCCCGCGTTGCACACGCAGCCTTCGACGCACGGATCCACACACACAAGGTCTCTTGCACAGGTGCCCTTGCAGTTCCAAACGCAAGGCTCGTAATGGCTTCCAGGCAGGCAATTCAGGAGAGCTGTGGAGCAGAGATCAATTATATGAGTAAGCGGTTAATTCCACTTCTATGAGGAAGCTACTAGAAGAGGTTTGAAGCCTCCTTTTCTACGGAGAGTACATGGGTCAGATCAGAAACCAAAAATGGGGAGGAATGCGTTTTTCCAGCTAACTTCTCCTAATTTGTGGCGACATAAAATCATCATCATCATCCCACTGTATAGATTTCTCGGTTCTTATCTTCTTCACGAATCCCAGTTAGGAGGTATCACTTAGACTATCACTTAGCCTGTGCATCTTGGACAGCTCCATCATTAAGGCCTGCTTAGTGCACATCAACATTTCCCAACCTTGACAACTTGAAGATGCGTGGACTTCAATTACCATGATTTCCCAGGCAGCATGGCTGGCTGGAGAATCCTGGGAGTTGAAGTCCACGCATCCTCAAGTTGCCACGGATGAGAAACACTGATCTAAATGTTGATACCATTCATGCAGAAAAAGCTGTTTGACCATTTCCTTCTACCCCCCCCCTCTGTCCCCCACTCCCATATCAATCAACTCAGAGTCTGTAGAGATCCAGGTCCTGGTTGTCCCAAAGGGGCTTTTTTTCAGGAGGCAACTGGACTTTTTT